TTTTTTTTCACCTGCACGATGCAAAGGCCTCTCCCTTCCATGCATGTACCACGCAGAAAAAAGAGGGGGTATCGTGGCTCCAAAAGAAAGTAAGTAATAATAATATACAAAAGCGTACGCCGAAGCGCAAGAAGAGGGGGAAAAACTCCAAAAAGTTTTGGTTAGATGAACGAATGTCCGAAGATACAACATCTCATGCGCTCGCTAAATCCAAACAGTCCCTCTACTTTCTCTCTCTCTCGGATCTACCAAGTGAATGCTCAAGTGCAGCTCCGTGTCTATGAACGAAACTCCATGCCGCTAATGCTGCTCACTGTCATCATGTTGAAACGCTCTCGCTAACAACGCTCATGTCCAACTCCCCCAAATGCACACACGCTCACAAATGACACATACCCCTTCGCAAGAAACAGGGTTCAACGCTAACACCCCTTGGTCGCAATAAAATACTCGACGCTCGCATCGGTCCAACTGACCATGTTAGAGCCAGACTCAAACACCTCCTCCTCGTAAATGTTGAAAATGTTATTTTCGTTGCGCGACCCCTGCTTGCCGGCGCCGGCGCCGAAGCTCTCCAAGCTCACAATCTTTGCGCCAGGTTTTAGATCGAGGAACTTGTTAAGCAGGTCGAAGTTGATGTTCTGGGGAAAAACTTTATTATTAACAAGGACGACGTCGGCGCGCTGCAGCACCGCAGTGGTTTCGGGGCTGTTAAGGAAATCGCCGTGCAGTAGCTTGATCGGGCCGATGGAGATGTTCCATAATTTTGCGCGCGCACGCAGTTCAGATGCTTGGTCCAGAGCGTAATCGGCTGGCTTCTCCATAATCTCGATGCCGAATGATTCGGCGCCCGTCTGGAGAGCAGCCTGGAGGACCATGTTGCCAACACCCGAGCCCAGGTCGACGAATACGCACTGGGAGTTGAGATTTGTCTGTTCAAAGATCTTGTGCGCAAATCGCGGCTTGAGTTCGCCGTATGTCGTCTCTTTGCCCTTGACTCGGCGGAGGAGATGCGATCGGTAGGAGACGGTACGTTGATATACTTGAATTGTGATGCGATTGACAAGGCTGAGGGGGAGGGCGTGCATGTTATCAATCTCATCTGATATGCTATCCAAATTGTCTTTTATTATAGTGTTGAATTTTGACAGCGCACTCTGGAACTCGTCGGGTTGGTTCTTGAAGACGGCCCGCTTCAGACGGCGCACGATACCGTCGGCCTCGTCGGAGAGCTTCAAGTCTTCGACGAGTTGAGCAGGAAGGTAATTCTGGATGATCTCTTCTATAGTATAGTAGATATCGTCGAGGGGGTTGACATCGTCGGAGCCCGGCGGGGGCGAGATGATCTCGAATGTCTCGGGTCTACCGGGGCTGGGATATTGCAAGTTCACGACGAGATTCTTCTCGAGTCCGGGGAAAGGGGACTTGTAGTGGCTTGCCCACTTCTCACGCGTTAGCTTTATGCTGTCGATAAGGCGCGCCGGCTCGATGGGTCGGTCAACGTCATTCTTCGCGTCGGGGGTTGGCTCCGACGATTTGCGATGGTAACGGATGCGCCGCTTGTAGTCAGGCTTCAGGCCACGCTGAAGGGAGGGAGGCTCCATACTGCTACTCGTCTTTGCCCTCTTGCGAGCGTTCGAGTCGTCGCTCGCATCACTGTCCTCATCGCTGTCGGTATCCCACACAATCGCGGCGCTCGGGCTCACTTTGCGCTTTCGGTTTTGAACGCGCGGACGCGGCGGTGAGAGGTATCGGGTGGACTCTGTGCGTGCGGCGGGCGAAGCTGTGCGCGGCTTTGTCGAGGCCGTCAGCTTAAAACGATTACTCGGAGGTGCGGCGGTCGTAGGTCGCGTGCTGCTAGTCTGTGGGGGTTTGCTGCCTGGGGCGGGTTTGACAGGCGGAGGACCCGAGCGCCTCTTGATGAGTTGCGGCTTGAAGTTGGGAATCATGTTGAAGTGGGAATATGAGGGTGTAAAGATAAGGGGGGTAAGGAGGGTGTGGTTGTTGTCGAGGGTAGCGGCATAGGCAGCGGTTTGGAAGAGTTATATGTGGGGGCGCGGTGGACAGCAAAGGCAGTGGGCGAACGAGGCAGGCGATGATTGGCAAGCGCAAGGAAGGGCAAGTGCGAGTGCGACAGGCGTACTAGGTGGAAGGAATGTACGTAGTTGGCAAAGGCAGCGACGAGCGGGAGGGAGGGATGACGGCGTACGAGGTGGAAAGACAAGGCAGTCAGTCACCAGTCACCAGGGCACGGCACTGAGGGAGGCAGGCAGGCAGGCATTTACTGTGTACTGTACTGTACGTTTTGCGCGCCACGCAGCCACTGCAGGGTCCGTGTCGATCTTCTCCAATCAGCTCCCCCTGTTTCCCATCTCACCTTTTATGGACCCCACCCGTCTCATGTCTTGCGGGCGGGATACAAAGTGCATACGTATGTGCGTATGGATGCGGGCACCAACGTGAAGAGAGCAAAACAAAGAAAAACACGTCTAGTTGATACTGCCCCAAACAAAAAAACGAGCCAAGTTCAGCCTGGCTAAATAAACTATCTGTCATTTTACCTTCGGAGGTCCAACCCAACCAATCCCACATTCCCGCTATCAAATAAACACGCCAGCTAAAACAAAAAATAAAGCCTGAAATGCAAAAATGAACGTGCCAGGGGTCGAACCTGGAATCTCTTGATTACTCTTTGGAAGATCGTAGTCAAGCGCCTTGCCATTGGGCCACACGTCCTAGATGTGATTTGATGGAGGATTTCGCTGTCAAAAGAATATATAACCTTTTCTAATTTGCAATTCATGCTTTCTACATTGGTAGGTATATGCAAGCCACACATCTTCGCTCGAGAAACTACAAACTTTTCTCCACCAAAGCGGGGCTCGCCATATGAAGGCTAGTTTATGCACCCTTTAGCGACTGTTCTCCTCACCAAGCAACAGAACTACTTCATCGGAAATATTCTGATTAAAGAGCAGCTGCGGTAAGAATGAAATCACGGAGTTTACAATCTCACCGACGTGCATGGTATGACTAGGAATTTGATTTATACATGTACGGCGAGTGCTGCCTTGCTCACCTGTGCGGATAGACATGAAGTGAATCCGGACTAAGGCCGATGATCACAATAGAATACGCCTCGTAATGTTCGCTAAATAAATGATACCTACCTCCCATTCGTCCCAATTGTCGTAAATCAACAATTTCATGGCTGAGGGAAACCATTTTCCCTTTTTAGAATACACGCTTAGACCTCATCCCCACACCGACAAGCATACCCCTTACTCGGTCCGCTTATGACATGCATGTGGCTGGCTATGGAGTTCTCCGTATGTATTGGGGCCATAAGCCTGATCTCTCGAATTTTCCCTTTTCTTACTCTTCTTCCTTCTCCAGTCCGGGGCAGCTTATAAAGGAGGGGAGGGGATCTTTGCGCGTTCGTACTCTGCATCGTTTCTGTTTGCGCGTTCGCGTCTTCCCTCTTGATTTATTCGCGCGTATTTCATGGCAGGCTCAGAAGCTTCGGAGATGCAACCGCTTGTAAGCGAGCAGCCATCGCGTCGTTCACCAAACCCACCCCGTGAGAGTAATGGGGAGGTCATCTACGTTCTAGATGATACGGACCAGCAATATGTGGTGCCATGGGAGGTGGGGAAAGACTGGGCTGTGAGTAGTTTGCATATCAATTGAACAAATACTTCTCATGTTTGTGATGGTCGATGCTAAGCAGGTTTCACGGCAGTCATTTGACGCGTTCGTTCGGGAAATCTTCACGAGGAAGAAATCCGAGTATCTAGAAGAGATAGTAGAAGGGCAGTTTGATGCATCTGGAACAGAAACCAAAATTATAGTGCTACCTAGTGTTTGGACATCGTCTATCCGACCCGGTGATGCGTTCAAGATCACACCTTGGTCTCTTAAGAACTCGAGACCTATTGTTATCGAGCGACCTTCATCGCGCGGAGGAAATGTACGGCGAAGCGATTTTTTGGATGACGAGGACATTAAATCGGATGGTGCTCGCACACGAGTGCCAATCCCGGGGTTGGAAACCGAAACCGAAGATGATTCAGTCGAGAGTGATGCAGTCGAGGATGATGCAATCGAGAGTGATTCAGTCGATGAAGAGACGGCGCATTCAAAGGAAAATGACGAGAGCGACTCTGGGCCAGCTCCTCCACCCGAACGTATACGCTCCGTGCCGTTACCGATTGATGATGAGGGGAATGAGCTTGCTTTCACTGTTGATACCCGCTGCGAGATTCCACCTGGAAAGCAAGGGCAGGAAATATGGAGCAACAGCGATGTCTTCAGGAAATCTCCAGGTCGCCCGACTATGATTACTGAGAACTACAGGATTACCAGAGCAATGAGCGTGGTAACGGAAGAACGGACTGCGATTGAAATCCACACGCTTTCTGGGCCGGAAAATTCTGCACTCCCTTCCAATGTTTTTATCCGATGGAATCACCTGTATGCGGAATACCTAGATTGGATGCAGTTCCAGGTTCGTTATAATGTATCCGCAACATTTTTGTGCCAGACTTATGACTCAAAATTAGAGCGCCTGCCTTGCTGTTCCAGATCTATCCGATCGCATTCAGAAACTTCTCAAAAAGCTTTTCATGAAAATCGAAGAAAAGGGCATCCTCAAGACCTACCTGAATGGAATGTTTGTTGAACCTGGCACAGTGTTACGCGCTGACGAATCTGACGAATCATCTAATCAAAACGATCTTCAATCTGTTATATTCTCATGTGTCCCTTACTTCGACATCTCCAATACCTCTGATCCGCCGCCTGGATTGGTTGATCTGGTGTATCCGGCGCGGACTCTCATGGAGGCTTATTACCCTAATAAGCCGGTACAAGATCGAGATGATGAACAAGCTTTCAGAAAGTTTGGAAACAAACGTAATGCAGGCTTGGTTCATGTCCCCTCATTATGGATGGTAAACATTGGGTCACAGGCCGTAGTAACGTGCGGGTATCGGTCATTAGCTTCCGAATTCCAGAAATCTATAATCGTGGTTTCAGACGACATCAAACAGCTCAGTCTGGGCATGAAAGAGAACAAAACGACGACCATCAGGCTTACGGATTGGGACAAGCGCCCACTTATTTACCAGCGTGACGAGTGTCGAACGTACTTTGAAATGGAACGGAAACTACGCGAGTTGAGATTCTCGCCAGGGAAGGATCGGAATAGCTTACAGTTGCTCACCAATACACGAAACGGATTGAGAAAAGTCACACCAGCAATATGGCCATCGTTGGTCTCCCAAAAGAACGTCATATTTGTCGATGTGTTTGTTACTAATGACCCGGAATTGAATAAGATTGATAAGGATTTGGAAGTGGAAGATCTCCAGCCACCTGGACTAGCCACTGTTCCACCATATTCTGTTCCACCATTCTTTCATTGGCCTATTGCAAGCAACGAGAAGAACGACGCAAAAAGCGCCATGCCTGCGGACGCAGATCGACCAATGCGTTGCTTAACGCGAGTCGAGAATGATCTCATTGATCTGGGTGTTCTTGAAAGTACGACAATAGGCGCAGTGGACGAAACTTTCACTTCTTCTACATATTACGAAGGACTCCCGGAAGTCAAGTTCGCGGACTTCGTGAAATCATTCATATCACGCCCCAAGTCTTCAAACATCACAAATGAACATTCATTGCATGCTCCGTTCCATAAAAGGTACATGGAAAAGTATTGTTCGAAGTTTGTAAAAGAGACCGCTGAGTTTGTCGATATTGTATGCGAAACACTGGGGCTTTTTGTGTCCAACATGGACAACAGTATCTTGCTACGAAAACTCTGGGGCTCCATGACCAATCTTGTTCATGTGGCCGAAAGAATGGCCAAGATGGAACCTTGCGAGGTCGATTCACAGGAGTATCTTGATCCGAATTGGAGACCCCGGTTGTCTAAAGACCCCTCGTGGTGGATTCGAAAAGGGCGAGCGAGCATCCCTTTGCCCGCCCCTAACGGCAAAAAGAACTTTGCTGCAACTGTTAAAAGCTGCCGTAAATGCAAACGCTATATGTTTAAGAGCCTGGACGAGGCACTTGAACATCTGCGCAGTGCTCATCTCGAAGAGAATCCCCCTGGTCGGGATTCTTCAAGTGGTCAACTCCATCCAAATGCGAACGAAACAAAGGAGCTGAGGGAATGGATTACCAACGGAGACGAGTGGGTCATCGAGTCTACTATATACAGTGCTACCGCCGTTCTATCCGCAGCTACCAAAAAAGCTCGCCATTTTCTCAACCTTCTCCACGAGCTCAGCGATGGGGTACGCAATGAGGATGGAGAATTATCACCCCTCTACGCACTTCCAGGGAAGCTTTTGGACACGTTCCATCAATTAGTGCTATTATACTTTGCGGTCGAACGCAGTTTGCACTACATCGAAGAGGACACTAAGGTCGACAAGAAGTCTGGGATGTTTGCCAAAGGAACAGATCTAGAGAAACTCGAGAAGAATTCTGCCATATTACAGCGGTTCAGTGACGACGTGAGGACTCCCTTAGTACGGGCGCGCGAGGATCTTTGCAACATGGCACGCTCCACAACCCCTACAGCAGTCGAAGAACGTCTTTCTCTGGGCCCGGAATACATTTGTAGTTGGGTAATGCGAAAGCTGATCGTGAAACCCTTGAAAAACAGCATGACCATAGCGGACATGTATAATGATTACCTCTTGACGATAGTGCGTAAACCCAGAGACCCGCTCTTCCCGTTTGCGCAACAGTTTTACTGACTTTAAGTAGGAATTCCAAGTCAGTCACCGTCCTGGAAAGCGCCTTCTGCGCTCCATAAAGCTCATCCAAGAAGAAATCAAGATTCTCCAAATAGTCATAGCATGGCAAACCCGGCAGATTACGAATTACATCAAGGTCCTCGACTATCTCACCTACCCCACTTCGAGCGCTCTTCTCCCATCCCGCCGTGTCATGTTTCCCTTGGAATATTCACTTTTGGCTTCCTGTCTCGAGAGCCTTGACATGATGCGGGCAGACCTCATCGATCAATACCTCCGTGGTGACCCGCTCTCAGATACCGCAAAGCAAAGCGCCGAAATCAACGAAGAAGACCACGGCAAAGCCATCTTCGTCTTTACCGTCGTTACGGCCATATTCCTCCCGCTGTCCTTCATCACATCATACCTAGGTATGAACACTGCAGACATTAGAGATATGGAAAACAACCAGACTCTGTTTTGGGAAATCGCAGCTCCACTGACGGCGGTCGTCATGGGTGCCGTTGTCTTTGTCGCATACAATGGCGACGAACTGCGTGACCTTTTCTCTTCCATGTACCGTACTTTGACTGGAAAACAACCCCGCGATACCCTCACGCGTGGTATCTCGGCGGCTCAGCGTAAACGCGCTGCACAGGCTGCAATATTGCATAGTTCGACGACGTTGAATACGAACAAAGAGTTGGCGGAGAAAGCAGAGTACGGGATTCCATACCCGCTACGGACCGAGAGTGGTTTTCCTTACAGCCAGATCAAAAGTAGTCCTCCCCTTGCACCTAACATAACTCTCAACAACGCGTACGTACGTCCGCCTTCGCCCGGGTTCCGACATGTCGCTCCGCCTGAGCCCGCAGTGCGAAATCTCCGCGTCAGAAACTCCTCCTATCGTCGTCCTACATATGAAAATGGGTTGGACTATGTCGATAATTCGAATGACGATTATAACCGGACTCATTATAAGTCTCG